TCTAGACAGACACAACTCACTTGGCTGTCCCTGTGAGCGGTACTCCCTGGGATCATGCAAGATGATGGCCCTGATGTCACTTTCCCAAGCCAGCTTCATGACCTTTGGATGAGTCCAAATCCCTCTTAGAGGTCCAGGACCCCTGTAGGTATCAGAAAATAATTACGAGATAATTAATCAGCATCTGTCTCTCCCACTAGACCAGATGCTCTGTGGGGATAGAGAGCTGCTCTTTTGTGGGTTTGATTTCTCACAGTTATATTCCTGCCGTAGAGAAGATGCTCAATAAATGTTGAATGACTGAAGGAACAAACTCCCATTTTCTGATCCCCGACTGTTGCAGGCTCCGCTCATACCTTGAGCTCCTGGAACCATTAGCCCTGAAGCACTGTCTCTGGAAGTGCTATGTTGGCTCTTTTTCTCTGCCTTGGCACAAGGATGGGTGGTGCTGAAAGACTGCAGCCTGGAGCTGAAAACTTCCTGAGGCCACTTCCCCGCAGATCTGCCTCCCGGCTGATACAAATGGACTGTCCTGCCCTCTCAGCTTCTGCACAGAGGTGTCCTTTCCTAACACCTTTTCCTCTTTTGAGATACCTTTAATGTTCACTGTAACCAAATCCATGAATATAAAATCATGGGGCGGGTGGCAATGGGGAAGGAAAGGGATGAGGGAGGCAGGCTTGAGGGCCCTGAAGTGTCATTTGTATGCTCAACTGCGTCCTTGTCACCAAACCTCCTCCCCCAAACCAATGGCCCTTAGCTAGGAATCCAGTATCTCATGAATATGTTGAACGTAAAACCAGTTCCTGTAAACAGAATTATATTTTTCATCACCTTCTATCATCAAACATGAAAATGAATATAAAAAGGTTTTGTCCCTAAGATATCACATAAATCATAACAATAATATACCAAGCTTATTTTACTTATATCCTTGGACAACTGGATACTTGTGATAAAATAAATTAGTAAAAGTCCCTGCATATACAAACACGGTACCCACACTTTAAAGAATTGCTGAATCCTGTGTCTTTTGGGAAGAGCCACCCTTATCTTGAGAGGCCTTACCTTTTGTAGCCTAAGCAAAATATTTGCTTTTAAAACCTCATGGTTTTAAACTGTTTCTTCTAAAGTCTGTGGATCTGTTCCAGTTGTTTATTACATAGTCCAGGTTCAGGGAGGTTAAGGATGCCAAAGTTTTTTTTTTATAAAGAAGGTGAGCTTGTCTTAGCCATAAAGAGTGTTTCCATAATTCATGATTTTTCAGGTGTTGACACAGCAGTTCCTCTCTAACTCAATAGATCTGTGGGTACTTAGGGCAGTGCCTGTGTTGTGGATCCTTGGGCCCAGTTACTTTAGGTCCCGCAAAGACCCTGGCCTGGGGTGGACCAAGACCCACCCATGCACATCACACATCACGCTTCAACCTTGCCGAAGACAACATCAGCAGCCACGGGTGCCTGTGACTCAGTGATAACATGGATTTGCTCACATCATAACCCTATTATTTATTTCGTGTAGGTTCGCCAGCTGTCCAATGCTATTCTAACAGGAGACATTCTTTATTTTATTCCATCGTTTTTATTTTTGGCAGTCTTTATCCAGAATGCTCAAGGGAGACCAGATGGCAACCAAGTTGTCTTGCATATGCAAGTCCGCTTTGAGACCAGGGACAAGCACCGGGATATCTCCAGCTGAGCCTGTTCTCTCTTCCGGGCTTCTTTCCCATCCCCACTCTCACCACGGCTGAAGCTCCCAAAATCTCAGAAGTAGTGATTTCTCCCTTGGCTGCTGGAGTTAAAATTGAGACATCAGGGCCTTCCTAGAGGGAAGGGGAGGGTGGTGGATAAACAGGTGGAATTCCTGCTCCTGAACCTCACGTGGGCATTTCTTACCTGAGGGAATTTGAAACAGGGCCAGAGGAGAATTTCCCTAGCCCGGCCTAATTTTTACCAGTCGAGACATGTCCCCTCCCACTTCCCCTTCCCCCCTCGAATGACATCTGTCAGGCTGCCTGGGCCGCCCCACTGTCTGATATCTGAAGGTCACAGCATAGAAGACTTCAGTGGTCAGGTAACAATGACTTCAGTGCTTGCTCGCTTAGCATTACAGTCTCTAGCGAGGGAGGGAATATATCTCCTCATAGCGGGGAGGCGAGAAGCAGGCACAGTCCTCATCTTCCAGCTGTGTCTCTTCTAGCTGGTCAGTATCAGGGCTGGGCCTGAAACAGAAGCAGAAAACAGGCGCCTTATAGCCCAAAGCAGCCCTCACAGAACCAGTGCCACCACCCTGGGCATCAGGCTGTTCAGGTTTGCATCTTCCTGCCACTTCCCAAACCTCATAGACCATGACGGTGGTGGCCAGAAGGGGAGAGTCCCCAACTCCACACACCATACCTGCCATTTCCACCATCCATGAAAGCAGGGTGGAGCTCATCATCCACAAAGGCGGCGTTACCTTGAGGGTAGATGGTATAGTATTGTGGAGGACTCGGTGCGACAGCCGCTGCCCCTCCGGGGAAGATGAGACCACCAGGGCTCACCACGGGCTGCAGGTGAGGGGCGCTCATCCCCACAGGCTCTTGAGAGCCGTAAGGAGGAGGGATGTACTGCACCACAGTGGCCCCGTGGAAGGTGATGGGTTGGTTGATGCCAGAGAAAACAAACGACTGTCCTCCCTGTGTCTGTTCCGGGTCCAGGACCCTGTCCTCACTTTCTTTGCAAAACTTGCAGGAGAGCATTTTGAACTTGCACACAGAAATCAGGATGAACGTCACCCCAACCGACAGCAGGATGGGCCCTAGCAGCTGGGTCCATTCAAAGTGAGAGACACCCTGGTATTTAATCTAGCCCATGACAGCGAACGTGATCCCCACCAGACCCAGAAAGATGCCTGAGAAAAGCAAGGTGGCCCCCGCCTTGTCGTCATCGGTCACCTGGATGTCGGAGGTGCTGGGTGTGTACGGAGTGACCGAGAACACATTGAGAGGGAAGTCCTCCAAGCGGCTGCTGCCCTGCTGCATCGTTCCTCAGTGATCACCCGTTTCTTAGAGGGGAAAGGGACTGCGAGAGCAAAGGAATCACAGGCTCAGATTAGCTATAGAAGAACTTTGGGCTTCTGTGGTTAACAGAGTATAACACTCAGAGGGCTGAACTTTGTTTAGAAGAATAAAGGTCTGAGAAACGAAGCCTGAAGTTCTCTCACACATTGCCAACACAGGCAGGTCTCCCGTTTTGCAAGCCAATGGCAAGCTGTCTCTCTAGTTCACATCCATTCATTCACTCATTCACAAAATACTTACTGAGTCCTTTATTCTAGGAGGTGCTTTTCTACAGCCATTTAAGTCACTGATCTAAGGCCCTGTTTTTGTCCTGACAAAGCCAGGTTTGTAGACATGACAGAGACCTCCAAGGCCTCCAGACTGAAGGGGGCCCTGNAGGGGAAAGGGACTGCGAGAGCAAAGGAATCACAGGCTCAGATTAGCTATAGAAGAACTTTAGGCTTCTGTGGTTAACAGAGTATAACACTCAGAGGGCTGAACTTTGTTTAGAAGAATAAAGGTCTGAGAAATGAAGCCTGAAGTTCTCTCACACATTGCCAACACAGGCAGGTCTCCCGTTTTGCAAGCCAATGGCAAGCTGTCTCTCTAGTTCACATCCATTCATTCACTCATTCACAAAATACTTACTGAGCCCTTTATTCTAGGAGGTGCTTTTCTACAGCCATTTAAGTCACTGATCTAAGGCCCTGTTTTTGTCCTGACAAAGCCAGGTTTGTAGACATGACAGAGACCTCCAAGGCCTCCAGACTGAAGGGGGCCCTGGTACCCATACTAGGTCAGCTCAGTAGAAATAGGTAGCCGTGTCTACGGCCATACCACCCTGAACGCGCTCGATCTCATCTGAAGTAAGTAGACAACTATTTCTTCTTTGTTTGTTTGGGCGGGGGGGCGTTGGCAGCTGGCTGGAGACCCGAACCCTTGACTATGGTGTTATAAGGCTGTGCACTAACCAACTGAGTACCGGCCAGCCCCCACACCTATTTCTTGACTGTATGTGTAGCCACTTCAGGAATCTCTAGTTATGATGACACTTAAACTTTTATAAAAGTTCTTGCAAATCCCTGAGCTCCTGTTCTTTCCTGGCCAGTGCCATGTGCTTTTTGCTTTCCACATTTGGCAAGTAATTCCAGCTGTGGGAGAGGAAAGATGCCACAGGAAACACTTCTATGCACCACGTCACTGGCAGAGGTTGAATAAGCATCCGGTGTGGTGTGGCATCACTGGGACACATACTTCAGACCCTCCCTCCGTGGTGGCCGCATGGTTCCTGGTCTCTAAGGTGAAACAAACAGCTGCATTTTTGAGCCTGCTGTATTTTTCAACCAAACCCAAGCTGATTTAGAGAAGATAGCTTGATCTTCAATGACATTATCTATCCCTCATGACTATGGAACTTCCAGCCACATGAATTTCCTCCTCCACAGAATCCTAACTGTAGCCCTTTTCCTTTTCCAGACAGATTTTTTTTCCAAGCAGATGTCTCTCTTCAGTGGTTAAATATTTTATCAACTCCCTTTCATAGAATTGAAATTGCTGTGCTCTTGCCCCAAGGCAGGGCTTACTAAACTTCCCATGAGATAAAAATCACCTGGGCCACTTTTAGAAAAGGCAAAACTTGAGCTCCCAACTCAGATCAACAGAGCCAAAATATACAAGGGACAGGGTTAGTTAGTGCCCCAGGTGACTCTTATCATCGAGGAATCTTAGGAAACCTTACCCCAAGTTAACCCCAAATGCTTGCAGGAGATCAGGTGATGTTTTTCCCATCAAAATGCCTCTTCCTGCTACTGGACAAGGCCTACAATCTCTAACTTCAATGCCAAACAAATGGGAAAGCAAGCAGGTGACCCGTCTGGTATCTTCTGGGATGTGCCCTGGAGCAGCAAAGCTAGGGCAGCGTTGCTATGGAAATGGGCTGCCCTTTCCCCACTGAGCTAGGTCAGACAGCCAGAAAAGCCAGCTTTTCTTTGTAACCGTAAAATGTCTGGTCAACTAGTCCAATGTACTTTTAAGGCTCTTAAACCTTGAGTTAACAGTCAAAATAGACCCTGACATATAGAAAAAAGCTAGGCTCTCAAAATTATTCTTTTAAGTCACTCAGTTTATGTTTCCCATTTGTCTTTAGCTACATCCACCTGCACTTAAGAGAATAATTGGGAACACAGAGAGCAGGGGAGAGAGATCCCCTTCCTGTAAGCAGCCCATGAATGCAGAATGGGAATGGCTTTCAGAGCATAAAATTCAGGAAGTTCTCCAGTTACATTTTCAAGGTCACCTTGATTCAGCCACTCTCTCCAAAACTCCAACTCTGTCTCTATGGTAAATAGCAATTTTTTAAAAATGCTAATAAACTGAATTCAACAACATATTAAAAGGATTATACACCATGACAAAGTGGGATTTATTCCTGGAATGTAAGGATGGTTCAACATATGAAAATCAATCTATGTGATACACCACATTAGCAGAATGAAGGAAAGACGCATACACACATGATCATCTCAATTGATGCAGGGTGGGAAAAGCACTCAAATTTATTAAACATTTACTACAGACCAGGCACAATTCTGGATGTTTAATATACATGGTATCGTTTCATCCTTTTAACATCTGGGTTACAGTCAAGAAAACTCTGCTGATTATAAAGCTATTGTGACTCTACTCCAAACCCAGCCTTCTATACTCTGCTTTGGCTGGGACTCTGCAGAGCACTTTTCCTTTGCCAGGTGGCTCCACATTGGGCTCTGCCAATAGTGGGTGCTAGAGGTAGACTGCAAGGTGAGAGGAAGGAGGAGCCAGGTACTATTTTCTGTTTTGCTCGCTGTTACTGTCAGTGTCACTCCAGCAACAGTTCTTCATCCGGGTAGTAAAAGTTAGTTCCAGTTTCCAGTGTCCCCCCAACCATCACCCAGAATCAGCCTCACTGCCCCTTCAGAGAAACTGGCACCAGCCAGACAGTGCCCCCTCCTCAGAGGTTCTTTATCTAAGCTCCTAGATGCCAGCACTAGCTGAGTGGCACTCTCAGAGAGCTGGTTCCAAGCTCCACAGGGACTCCTCTCCAAGCTTCCACATCCTGGTATAACCCCAACCTCTTTCCTTTCACCCAGTCTGTATTTACTATCTCTGACTTAGCTCAGTGTTCACTTTTTGCTGTTTCAATCTTCCAATACCTGTTTAACTAATTTCCTATATTGAATCCTGTGTACTAAAACAGCTGGTATGGTTTCTGTTTCTATATCTGAATTCTGACTATGTGGTATTAACAGTGGGGTTAGGAAACAGACCTACAAAGATGGAATTCTGGAGATGGTTTGGTCATATTCTTGGCCTTGAATACAATACTGAACTTCTTGTCAATGAAAAATGGGATCTTAGTAACCCATGACATAAAGTGGCATCAAAATTAATAAAAATATCACCTGTGGTAGGCTGTGACGAGGTGCCTAGTAGAGCAAGTGTCTTGGGGACCCACTGGCTGCTACACTTCATCATTATGGTAGTAGTGATGGACTACAAGGACTGTGGGATGGGACGGCCACTTTGACGTGCCCTAGAATACTTAGAAAAAGAAAAATGACAAGCTTAGGTCTTTAAACTCTCAGCTCAAGTCATGATCAGAAAACCAGAGAGTTTCAAT